ATGACAAATTGAAGAGGAATGGTGTTGCATTCATCATCAAAAAGAACATATCCAGATCAGTCATGAGGTACAACGCGGTCTGTTACAGGCTAATATCCATGCACCTACAGGGAAGCCCAGTTAATACCACTATTATTCAAATTTATGCACCAACCACCAAAGCCAGTGAGGATGAAATAGAAGAATTCTATCAATAATGCAATCAAGATATATTGATAATCATTGGTAATATTGGAATGCAAAGGTTGGAAATAAAGAGGAAGGATCAGTAGTTGGAAAATATAACCTTGGTGAGAGAAATGATGCTGGAGATCACATGATAGAACTTTGCAATATCAATGATTTGTTCATTTCAAATACCTTCTTTAGACAGCATAAGAGATGATTATACACATGGACCTCACCAGATGGAATACACAGAAATCAAATTGACTACGTCTGCGGAAAGAGACAGTGAAAAGCCAAAACAAGGCCAGAGGCAGATTGTGGAATAGACCATCAATTAATTACTCATATGCAAATTCAGGCTGAGCTGAAGAAAATGAAACCAAGTCCACAGGAGCCAAAATAGGACTATTTTGAATATATCCCACCTGAATTTAGAGATCATATGAAGAACAGATTTGATACATTAGACATTAAAGACCGATGACCAGAAGATTTGTGGGATGACATTAAGAACATCATACAGGAAGAAAGCAAAAAGTAATTAAGAAGACAAGAAAGAAGGAAAAGATCAAAATGGATGTCAGAAGAGACTCAAACAACCACAGAGATGGTAAAGCAAATGGAAGAAATGAGGAGGCACAAGAGCTGAACAGAAAGTTTCAAAGGTCAGCTCGAGAAGACAAAGTCAAATAGTACAACGAAATGAGCTAAGATCTGGAGTTAGAAAACCAAAAGGGAAGAACACACTCAGTATTTCTCAAGTTGGGGGAACAGAAAAAAAAAAAATCAAGCCTTGACTTTCATTATTGAAGGATAATCTGGGCAGATTATTGAATAATGCAGAAAGAATCAAAAGAAGATGGAAGGAATACACAGAGTCACTGTACCAAAAGGAAATGATTGATGTTCAGCCGTTTCAAAAGGTAGCATATGATCAAGAGCCAGTGGTACTGAAGGAGGAACTCCATGGTGAATTGAAGAAATTGGCAAAGAACAAGGCACCAGGAATTGATGGAATACAAATTGAAATCTTTCAAGAAAGTGAGGCGGCACTCGAGGCACTCACTCATCTATGTCAAAAAATTTAGAAGACAACTATCTGGCCAACTGATTGGAAGAGATCCATATTTGTGCCTACTTCAAAGAGAGGTGATACAACAGAACACAGAAATCATCGGATAATATCTTTGATATCCCAAGTTGAGTAAAGTTTTAATCGAGGTAATACAGAAATGGCTGCAAGCATACATTGACAGAGAACTTCCAGAGGTTCAAGCTGGATTCAGAAGAGACCATGGAACAAGGGATTATCACTGCTAATGTTTGATGGATTTTGGCTGAAAGCAGAGAATACCAGAAAGATGTTTACTTGTGCTTTATTGACTACGCAAAGGCTTCGATTGTGTGGATCATGACAAGCTATGGACGATGTTGCTAAGTATGAGTATTCTGGAACACTTAATTGTGCTCATGAGGAACCTGTATATAGACTAAGAGGCAGTTGTTTGAACAGAACATAGGAACACTGAATGGTTTAAAATTAAGAAAGGTGTGCGACAGGGTTGTGTTCTTGCACTATATTTATTCAACCTGTATGCTGAGCAAATAATCAAAGAAGCTGGGTTATATGAAGAAAAACGTGGCATCAGGATTGGAGGAAGACCATTAACAACCTGCGATATGCAGGTGATACAACCTTGGTTTCTGAAACTGAAGAGGACTTAAAATACTTACTGATGAAGATCAAAAACCATAGCCTTTGGTATGGATTGCATCTCAACGTAAAGAAAACAAAAATCCTCACTATTGGACCAATAAACAACACTCTCATCAATGGAGAAAAGATTGAAGTTGTCAAAGACTTCATTTTTCTTGGATCAACCATCAACACTCACAGAAGCAGCAGTCAAGATATCAAACAACGTATTGCATTAAGCAAATCTGCTGTACAAGACCTTTTTAAAGTGTTGAAGAGCAAAGATGTTAACTTGAGAACTAAGGTACGCTTGACCCAAGCCATGGTATTTTCAATAGCCTCAAATGCATGCGAAAGTTGGATAGTGAATAAGGAAGATTGTAGTAGAATTGATACTTCTGAGTTATGGTGTTGGAAGAGAATATTGAAAGTGCCATGGGCTGCCAAAAGAACCAACAGACCTGTGTTGGAAGAAGTGTAGCCAGAGTGCTCCTTGGATGCCAGGATGGCCAAAGTTCATCTCTCATACTTCAGACTTATTGTCAGGTGGATCCAGTCACTGAAGAGGAGGGATATCATGTTCGATAAGGTGGAGGGTGGGAAAAATATAGGAAGACCCCCAGCGAGATGGATTGGCAAAGTGGCCCCCAGTGAAATGGATTAGCAAAGTGGCAGCATTAATGGGCTCAAGCATGGCAACAATTGTGAGGTTGGCCCAGGACCGGGCAGTGTTTCATTCTGTTGTACATAGCATAAGGTTTCTATGAGTCACTACCGACTCAATGGTACCTAATAACAACATGGAAAAATAAAGCAGCTGAGAACTCTAGACTTATGGAAAGAGAAAGGCTGTGTGCTGGCGGCCAGGTGCTGGTGGCCAGGAGGCAGGCTTGAAGAATGTGCCCTTTGGTTGTTTAAATGATTATATGTATTCCTGAATGTTTTTGTGTTGTTGTTGTTGTTGTGTGCCATGGAGTCAGTTCTAACTCATAGCGACCCTGTACAGGGTTTCTGAGGCTGTAAATCTTTACAGGAGCAGAAAGCCTCCTCTTTCTCCTGGTAGTTTCGAACTGCTGTTGCTGAGGTTAACAGCCTGATTCATAAACACTACACTACCAGAGCATTTTTGTGTATATCCCTGAAAAAAAAAAAAGAGGGAATAGAAGCAAATACTATTGAATGCTGATGCACAGAGGAGGTGATTGTAATTATTGCAATGAAACAATGAGTGTAAAACCGATGTTCTCCCATGTAAACTATCACTCAATTCACAATAAAAACTTGAAAGAAAAAAAAAAAGAGAGAGAGAGAGATGCTCAGAGCTTGGGTCCAGTTGTTTGGGCCATGGTAACTCGATGGTGATTGCAGCTCTGCCTCCTCACCAGATCTGTTGTGGGCATCCCGACCTGCGAGTCCCTGGTACAGCTGCAACCCAGGCAGAACTACACAATCTACGTGAGAGCCCTGAACATGGGGGGCTCCAGCGCAAGGAGCCAGCCTGTTACCGTCCGCACCACAGGTCTGTGCCCTCGGCCACATAGGTAATGCTGCTATGGAAATAGATCAGTGTGTGCACATCTACTCACAGCAAGGAAAGCTAGAAAGGTATTAAGGCACCATCAAAGCCCTGTGGTCCCATTTCATAGATAGGGAGACTGAAAATCAAAAAGTCACAAAGTAAGTTGGTGGCTGTGCAAGTATTAGAACTCAAGTCCCCTAGAGATTTGTCACACTGGACCTGGATGGCCCAGTCACTTCATATATCACACAGGTTGAACATCAAGCCTGGGAAGGGGTCTTTATGAAATTCCCTGGAAAAGCAATTGGCCTTCGTGTACCTCCCTGTTCCTGCTGTCAAGCCAAGCATCTCTCTACCCACAGGCCCAACTTAGACATGTCTGGCTTTAGCAGGAATCCTTGCGTGAAACAAAAACAGTTAGCATTTAACTATTAACCAAAATGTTGGTGATTCAAACCCATCCAAAGGTACCTTAGAAGAAAGGCCTGGTGATGTGCTTCTGAAAGTTCACAGCCTTGAAGACCCCATGGAACATAGTTCGCAGCACACATGGGATTGCCATGAGTCCAAATCCACTAGATGACAACTAGTTTGGTTTGGTTTGGTTTCATGGGCATCAACATCCCCAGTTCCAATTCCCTTCTTCTTCTCTGGCAGAAAGATGAGGCTTTGGCTATTGTCACAGAATAGTCACATCTCATGTCCCAGGTTTGAGTTAGCGGAGCCATGGCTATGAACAGCCCAACATTTCTGTTCTCTCAGCACTGCTATGTCTCCAGGTTGGGAGCTTTGCCAGAGCTCATTGAGGCCAGACAGTGCTCCCTACACTGCTCAGGCGGCCTGGGTAAGAAGCAGAAGTGAGCCTGGGCCCTGGGCTTAGGAGACAACATCACCTTCTGTGGGATCTTTCCCTGTAGGACATTGTATCAGTTTGTCCTCTTTTCTGATACCAAGAAGTTGACAATAGAAGTATCCACTAGCCCTGGGATTGGGACGCAGGTCTTTCACTGATACTATGTGGGAGCCTTCCTTTTACTGGTTGTGCTGACTTGATGTTTTGAAATGTCAAATTCTGATTGGCTAAATAATAGAGAATAGAGAGAGAAAGGTGCAGTCAGCTCTAAATTATTCAGTCATCTGTGGATTCATTTGGTCAAAGAATTTTTAAAGAGTGTATGAAAAACATGACTGAGCATGAATCAACAAAACCATTATATATCCAAGAATAGTTTTTGCTTGGGATTAGAGAACAGACAGTAAGGACCACAACACATGTTAGTTGGGATCTGGGAACGAATTCACCCTCAACAGTCAGCTTGGTAGCAAATAGAATTTCCAGCAGCATCAAAATGTAAAAGTAGCTTTGAGAGATTTGATGACAATGGTGTGGACTAGCGTTTGAAACTACCAAAAATGATCAAATGAAAAGTCTTCTAATGCAAACTTGAAAAAAGAGCCTGACTAAAAGATAATGACTACATACTGTGTCCCGAAATGGAGTTCTGATGGCTCAGTGGGTTGAGCGTTAAGCTGCTAACTGCAAGGTCACAAGCTCAAAACCACCAGCCAATTCATTAGAGAAAGATGAGGCTGTCTACTCCCATAAAGGTCTTCAGTCTCAGAAACCTTGGGGAGCAGTTCGCCTCGGTCCCAGGGGGTCACTGTGAGTTGACGCTCTAGCAAAGCATGTGCGCAGGTTACAGTCCCACATCTTCTCTCCCTTGATTTTTATTTCCCTTGGCATAAAATTCTTGCCCTTTACAGAGTAACATTTAAGAACACAGCCTCTGGAATCAGAGGGGCTTGAGGTTCAAATTTAAGTACTACCATTTACTAGCTTATTTTTTAACCACCCTGTGCCTCAGTTTCCCCACCTACAAAATGGAAATCATAAGATTGGCTTCCAAGCATAATTATGAAGACTGAACAGGGTAACACTTGTAAATTGCTTAACATAGAATATGGAAAACATCGAAACCCATGGTCACCCTATAGGACAGGGTAGAACTGCCCCATAGGGTTTCCAAAGCTGCTACATCTTCCTTCTGCCAAGCAGCTGGTGGATTTGAACTGTCCACCTTTCAGTTAACAGCAGAATGCTTTAACCACTGTGTCACCAGGGGTCCCATAGCCCAGTACTAAGCACAAAAATTCCCAATTTGTGTTAACTCTCCTCATTATTAATATGATTATTATTATGCAAGTCCCAGATTTATGTGAATGATACAGAAAGATAAAGCAGCAAAGTCAGTTAGATCCTCCACCCACCAGGAACGGGAATGTTAAGAAGGCAGAGTGAAATGATTGGCTGGGGAATCTTCTGTGTATTTCCACCCCTTCCAGGCTGTTACTTTCACCTAAACAAGGACACCTGCCATCCCTGGCTGACCATATCTGAAGATGGGTTTACTGTGGTCCGAAGCGAAAGGAAAACTCCAGCAAGGGAGCCACTACCCAGCAACACCCAGTTCACCAGGTACTTTAACAACCACTCCCAAGAACATACTGTAGGCACCAGAAACGTACAAATATTCAGGTGCAGTCAGAATATGGCTGACAGAAAAGGGAACAGGGACCTCCAGGAACAAATGCGGTAGGGGCTTGGTGGGGAGGTGAGGCTAGGAAAGACGTGCAGAAGACATCTGACTGGTGTCTCCTAAACAGAAGGGTTAGGCTGGCCTCTCAGTAGGATGAGCCCTTGGCTGTCAGCGCTGGGGGAGTCTGAGAGGTCATGATTGGGGTCCCGCTGATAGGTTGTGGACAAACAGAAACAATGTTCTACATATTCAAAAGTGTCTAGCATCCCAAATATGAAGAGTCCTGGAGGCTTTGTATTATAAGCACTGGACTGCTAACCACAAGGTCAGCAGTTCAAACTCATTAGCTGCTCTGGGAGAAAGATGAGGTTCTCTCTGCTTTCAGAAATATTTACAGCCCTGGTAATCCTGTACACCACCAATCATCTGTCAGTTTGTCGTATGGGGGCTTGTGAGTTGCTGTGATTCTGGGAGCTATGCCACAGGTATTTTAAATACCAACAGGGTCACCTACGGTGGACAGGTTTCAGATGAGCTTCCAGAATGAAGACAGACTAGGAAGAAGGAGAGACAAACTACTTCTGAATATTTAGTCACTGTAAGCCTTATGAATAGCAGAGAAACACTATCACATATACTGCCAGAAAATGAGCCCCTCAGGTTGGAAGGTACTCAAAATGCGACTAGGGAAGAGCTGCCTCCTCAAAGTAGAGTTGACCATGATGACTTGAATGAAGTAAAGCCTGTGGGAGTAAAGCCCACAGGCCCTTCATTTGCTGATGGGGCACAACTCAAAATGAAGGAAAACAGCTGTAAACATCCTTTAGTCATCGGAACATGGAATGTATGAAGTATGAATCTAGGAAAATTGGAAAATGTCAAGAATGAAATAGAAGGCATTAACATCGATATCTTAGGCATTAGTGAGCTGAAATGGACTGGTATTGGCCATTTTGAATCTGACAACACATGGTTTAGTGTGCTAGACATGACAAATTGAAGAGGAATGGTGTTGCATTCATCATCAAAAAGAACATATCTAGATCAGTCATGAGGTACAACACGGTCTGTTACTGGACAATATCCATGCACCTACAGGGAAGCCCAGTTAATACCACTATTATTCAAATTTACACACAAACCACTAAAGCCAATGAGGACGAAATAGAAGAATTCTACCAACTTCTTCAATCTGAAATCGATCAATAATACAATCAACATATATTGATAGATAATCACTGGTAATATTGGAATGCAAAAGTTGGAAATAAAGAGGAAGGATCAGTAGTTGGAAAATATATGACCTTGGTGAGAGAAATAATGCTGGAGATCGCAGGATAGAATTCTACAAAATCAATGATTTGATCATTTCAAATACCTTCTTTAGACAGCATAAGAGACGATTATACACATGGACCTCACCAGATGGAATACACAGAAATAAAATTGACTACGTCTACGGAAAGAGACAGTGAAAAGCTCCATATCACCAGCCAAAAAAAGGGCAAGGGCAGATTGTGGAACAGACCATCAATCGCTCATCTGCAAATTTAAACTGAAGCTGAAGAAAATGAAAACAAGTCCACAAGAGCCAAAATAGGACTATTTTGAATATATCCCACCTGAATTTAGAGATCATCTGAAGAACAGATTAGACACTAAAGACCAAAGACCAGAAGAGTTGTGGGGTGACATCAAGAACATCATGCAGGAAGAAAGCAAAAAGTCATTGAGAAGACAAGAAAGAAGGAAAAGGTCAAAATGGATGTCAGAAGAGATTCTAAAACTTGCTCTCCAGCGTAGAGACCCTAAAGCAAATGGAAGAAATGAGGAGGTACAAGAGCTGAACAGAAAATTTCAAAGGTCAACTCGAGAAGACAAAGTCAAATATTACAACAAAATGTGCGAAGATCTGGAATCAGAAAACCAAAAAGGAAGAACATGCTCAGCATTTCTCAAGCTGGGGGAACTGAAGAAAAAAATTCAAGCCTGTACTTTCATTATTGAAGGATTCTCTGGACAAATTATTGAATGATGCAGAAAGCATCAAAAAAAGATGGAAAGAATACACAGAGTCACTGTACTAAAAGTAAATGGTTGGTGTTCAACCATTACAAAAGGTAGCATATGCTCAAGAGCCAATGATACTGAAGGAAGAAGTCCAAGGTGCATTGAAGGAATTGACAAAGAACAAGGCTCCAGGAATTGATGGAATAAAAATTGAAATCTTTCAAGAAAGTGAGGCGGCACTCGAGACACTCACCCATTTATTTTAAGAAATTTGGAAGACAACTATCTGGCCAACTGATTGGAAGAGGTCCCCATTCCAAAAAGAGGTGATCCAATGGGATGCAGAAATCATTGGACAATATCTTTGATATTCCATGTGAGTAAAGTGTTACTAAAGATAATACAGAAACAGCTGCAAGCATACATTGACAGAGAACTTCCAGAGGTTCAAGCTGGTTTCAGAAGAGGACATGGATAGAGGGATATCATTGCTGACGTCTGATGGATCTTGGCTGACAGCAGAGAATACCAGAAAGTTATTTATCTGTGCTTTATTGACTATGCAAAGGCTTTTGATTGTGTGGATCATGACAAGCTATGGACAGCATTGCGAAGTATGAGTATTCCGTAATACTTAATTGTGCTCATGAGGAATCTGTACATGGACCATGAGGCAGTTGTTTGAACAGAACATGGAAATACTGAATGGTTGAAAATTAAGAAAGGTGTGAGACAGCGTTGTATTCTTTCACCATACTTATTCAACCTGTATACTCAGCAAATAATCCAAGAAGCTGAGTTATATGAAGAAAAACTTAGCATCAGGATTGGAGGAAGACTCATTAACAACCTGCCATGTGCAAATGATACACCTAGCTTGCTGAAAGTGAAGAGGGCTTAAACATTTACTGATGAAGATCAAAGAGCACAGTCTTTGGTATGGATTGCATCTCAATGTAAAGAAAACAAAAATCCTCACCACTGAACCAATAAACAACATTCTTATCAACAGAGAAAAGATTAAAGTTGTCAAGGACTTCATTCTTCTTGGATCAACTATCAACACTCACGGAAGCAGTAGTCAAGAAATCAAACGACGTATTGCATTAGGCAAATCTGCGGTACAAGATCTTTTTAAAGTGTTGAAGAGCAAAGTTGTCAGTTAGAGGACTACTCTGGTGCACCTGATCCAAGCCATGGTATTTCCAATAACCTCATATGCACGTGAAAGCTGGACAGTGAATAAGGAAGACTGTAGAAGAATTGATGCGTTTGAGTTATGGTGTTGGAAGAGAATATTGAAAGTGCCCTGGGCTGCCAAAAGAACAAACAGATCTGTGTTGGAAGAAGTACAGCCAGAGTGCTCCTTGGAGGCCAGGATGGCCAAACTTCATCTCTCATACTTCAGACATATTGTCAGAAGGGACCAGTTGCTAGAGAAGGATATCATGTATGGTAAGGTGGAAGGTCCAGCAAGATGGATTGGCAAAGTGGCAGCATCAATGGGATCAAGCGTGGCAACAGTTGTGAGGTTGGCCCAGGACCAGGCAGTGTTTCGTTCTGCTGTGCATAAGGTCACTATGAGTCGGTACCAACTCGATGGCACCTAACAACAACAACAACAATAATTTTATAGGCAAGAAAACTGAGATGAAACAAGTTATACAACTACCTGATGTGGGGATTCAGATTCACCCAGGTCTCCCAGACTCCACAGCTTTGCCTGTCCAACTGTGTCAAAACTTAATTTCCCTTTATTTTAAAATGTGAAACACAATTGTGGCTCAGAGTTTTCTCTCCAGCTCTCATGGTGGTCTGACTGGGTCACTGTGGAACGCACTGGTGGGGACCAGAGCAGGGGCTGCGCATTGTTAAGGGCAGCATTTCGCCAGGCCCTTCAAGACCCTTCCTAGATTTGTACTACAATCAGGGTGTTACTGATTAGGGGTGTTTCCAGGAACCATGACTGTGGACCAGTTCCTGGGGCACTTGGAAGAGCTCTTCTTTCCAAAGCTTTGCTTTAGCATAAAGAATTCAGGAGGTTTGATAGTAGAATGTTCTGATGACTGTTGGGTAAGTACTTCTAGGGATTTGGGGAGCCCCATAAAGTCTGGTTAATATTGGAGGCTTCTGAAGGAGATACAGCATTCATTTGGGTGGTAATCTGGCCTCCAGTTAAACCCTTCCTCAGTAAAGGACTTTATTGTTACAGAACAAAACATACCTTTGAGTTTTGTAAGAATAATTGTTCCCCATTGAACCTTGAAGTTAGGCTTTGATGGTTTGTGAGTGAGAACTTTGTTATTTTGCTCTTCTTGGGTCTACCTCTGGATTCTGAGTTCTGGTCCTCTTCCTGGCATCATCCCTAACATAAATGTGACTTCAAAGAGCCTCCATGTGAGTTCTGTACCTTAAGCAAGGGCTGGCCAGTTCATGATCTTCAAGTACATGATTTTCTTGACTATTGCATTCTCCAAGTGTTTGATCTTTTCCTTTTTTTACGAACAAGTGACCTAAACCTTTATGTTTGTTACTATGAAAGTTCAACCCCCTTGTTGTTTAAAAAAAGAAAAGTCTTTTCTAATTGGTTAAATGTCTCCTACTCTGGTAGCGTAGTGGTTACAAATCTGGCTGTGAACCGCAAGGTCAGCAGTTCAAAGGTACCAGTCTTTCCATGGGAGAAAGATGAGGCGTTCTGCTCCTGTAAAGATTTACAGCCTCAGAAACCCTGTACAGGGTCACTATGAGTCAGAACCGACTCCATGACACACCACCACCACTGTTCCATTAATAAATAATTCTCTTCTAATCTTTAGTTGGTTTGAACTGCAAAGTTGGCAGTTTAAGCTCACTGGCTGCTCTTTGGAAACTCTATACAAGGTTATTATAGTCAGAACTGACTCGACTGCACTTAACAACAGAAACAATCTTTATTTACCATCAGTCAGCCGAGCTTTGAAAGCTGGGTTTACCAGGGAAGTGTTCGGAAGTACCTAGGTGCACATCTGTAGCTGTAGGGAGGGCTTACTGACTGTCCCCAACAGCTGACGGCACCCACCTGCACAGCCAGGCTTGGGTCACCTCAAATCACATGTTTCCACTTTTTAAAACCAGGTGTGTTGCTGTGAGGGGAAATCTAATTCCCGTCCGAGGGCGCCACTACTGGGAGGTGGATGTGGATGAGCGTTTGGATTACACTGTTGGCGTAGCCTTTGAAGATGTCCCTAAACAAGAGGACCTGGGCACAAACTGCCACTCTTGGTGCATGAGGCATACATTTGCATCATCAAGGTAAAGCAATATCTGTATACCCAAGATTAAAACTACCTTCTGAAAGATTAGAGCAAGAGGTGTTCACTAACCATAATGAAGGCCCACTTTACGTTTCATAAAATATTCTAAGGTATTTCTGTACTTGTTTCCAGCCACTTTCCCTTCAAAAAGCGCACCTTTGGGCTACTTTTGAGATAAAAAATGAACAGCTTATTATGTATCTAGTACTGTTCTATACCATTGCATGCTTTATCTCTTTTACTGCTAACAATCGTATTCTCCTAGGTGGTTTATTTGCGTATTCTATTTTAAAGATAAGAATGCAGTTAAGTAAACCACTCAACACAGGATTCAGAGCTTGGATTCAAACTGGGGAAGTCTAGGTCCAAACACAGCATCCTAAACAACACGGTGGTTAATTTTTCACTTACACTCAGCTTTATAGTGTAATTAAATGGATATAATTTAACTTAAAGATCCAATTTGTTCTCTTTAAGTAAACGTTAGCAAATGTCTAATTTTGGTTTGCTTCTGCTGCTGAGCACTCTCTTTACACATGGGAACAGTTCACAGTAGATCCATAAAGCTGGGGGGAAACCCATGATGTCCAGGCCTTTGGACTTTTTGACATTTGGAAGGCCATGGTTATGATTGAAAACCAAAAACAATAAGGGTTTTCCCAGCTGCACTCCCTCAAGCCTCTGGTACTGTGGAGCCTCTGGTCCTCGCTGACTTGCTGAACCCTTTTCATGTTCCACCCTGTGTTCTGTGCCCATGATCCTTTTTTATGATCAAGATAAGTGGGAACTATAGTGGACACTGCTAAACCTCAGATGCAGTTTAGAGGATGCAAGATACAAGAGGGCTTCAAAAAGTTCATGGAAAAATGGCATTAAAAGAGAGTAGAATTTTTCCATGGAATTTTTGAAGCCCCCCCTTGTGTTTACTGAGCCATTGTTTTGGTGTGGTGCTATAGGATAAGCACTAGTTCAAACTCACCAGCCGCTCTTTGAGAACCCTATCCAGGGTCGCTATGAGTCGGAACAAAGTCATTAACACTTAACAACAGCAATTCTTTATTAGACGATTCCCTGCTGAAGTAACACTAGAAATCAAAAAGTCTCCCCTCCTTTCAAAAAGCAAGAACTAGTGACAGAAAAGACGAGAAAGTACAAAGGAAGACAGTAAGAGTGTGTGCAGCAGCAAGTGTGGAGGAAGGCTACCAGGCAATAGAAAAGGGCAGAAACAAAGACAGAAAAAGACGGGGGCCCAGCACTGGCGTAGATGCTTCTTGCAGCCACATCTTGGGAAGGTGTAGGAATGTGTTCTTTAGGAGTGGAGTGTGAATTAAGGTGTCCTCACTCACTCACACTTTTTGGTTCATAGTCCCAAGCCCTACTGGTGGTAGGAGCGGTGGCATCATTTGGCTTCTAGTGGCTGCTCAGTTTAGAAGAGAAACTAGGAGGTTGGTCAGGTGACCTAGCATAGGGACAGGCTGGTTTGCTCTGACACGTTTGTTTAGATCAGATTCCAAATGTTCACCGCAGTAGCACTCTTCAGATATCTGTAGTCAGTAGGGTTAGAAGATTGCTATGGTTGGTTTTGGTTTCAGCCATTTTTCCAAGCACATGGGATATGGGTTACGGATTATAGTTAAAGGGAGGTGATACTATATAACATGGAACAGGCCCACTGGCTATCCCTTCCCTCCACTCAGTCTGAAACTCAAAGAACTGGTTATCTTAGAGTACTTGTACACAGAACTGCTTACACCAAAAACCCATTGGTTCTGTTGCCTTTTCGAAATGTCTTTATTACAAATGACTTACAACTAGGAACCTTAGAATCCATTATTTAAAATGTGTCCCATTTATATGCAAATTTTGATGCAATAATAAGTTTCTGATACTGTTTATAAGTTATATAAGGTTAACAGGTTGTTCAAGAACAAATGGAGCTTAAAATGTCAATGTTTTATGGAAAATTTAAAAAAATCTTCCAAAAAGTTCATGGAATAAATGAAGTATAAGACAATGGAAATTTTCCACAAACTTTTTGAAGCTTCCTCATATAACTCGGAATATATAGTTTTGGAAATGTCCTGCCATTTTGGTAATCATTTAATAAAAGAAAATAAGACAGTCATAGGAGTATTTGAGTAAAACAGTATGAAATGTTCTATAAATAACCCATACAGAATTTCTGAAACTTTGTTATATCAACATTTGATTTTCAGGCATAAGTACGAATTCCTTCACAATAAGACAACTCCAGATATAAGAGTCACCGTTTCCCCAAGGAGGATTGGTGTTCTGTTAGACTATGAAAACTCAAAGCTGTCATTTTTCAATGTGCACATTTCTCAGCATCTTTACACATTCAGTTGTCAGTTTCACCAGTTCGTGCACCCCTGTTTCGCTCTGGGAAACCCTGGGAGCCTAAAGATCCATAACGGCATTTCAATACCAAAGCACGTGGCTTTCTATTAGACCATGTGATGCCCGGCTTTGTTTCTCGGCCAGGCCTCACCACTTCTCACCATAGCCCAGCTGGCTCCACTTAGCACTCAGGCACCATGCACCTGGCACCCTTTGGCAGACTCATGTGCGGGCATTCCTCCCCCGTCACCTGGAATCAGTACCACCTGTGAGACGCTGGGTTAGTCAATTACCAGTCCCAGCTGTGAGATGAGGGAGTCAAAGATCATTCAAGTTGTCAGAATGCATTAGCCTATTCGTATATACTCCAAGGCCCAGAGTTTGGGTTGCGGTGGACGGGCTGGGTTGTGACACTTTGTGGCACCTGCTCTCTTAGTGTATTTGGTCAGCCAAGACGTTTCCGGAAAGCAAGAGGCTACCCACCAAGAGGACAGGAAAGGCATGTTCCCTCTTTATGACCTTATTGTTGTTATGTGTGCTGTGGAGTTGATTCCAACCCATAATGAGTTTATAGAATTACCCAGAGTTCCCAAAACTGTAACCTTTGCTGAAGCAATCTGCCACATGTTTGTCTCAAGGAACAGCTGGTGGATTAGAACTGCTGACCTTTCAGTTTGCAGCTGAACTTAACCACTGCACCACCAGGGCTCTATCACCTTCTAGCCCCCTCTCCTGTTAGCAGTGAGGTTTCCCCACTGTACACGCCTGAAGCACCCTGTTCTCCTTCATAGAACTTGCACTGTAATTACTCTATAATGCGTAACTCCACAAAGGCAGGGGCAGGATCTATCTTGTTCATTACTGGATCCCCCAAGGCTAATTTTTATTTGAATAAAAGGACATCTCCATTCAATTTGGCCCTTCAGCCACTCCCTGCTCTCCACATCAGGAATGGAAGGGTTCTTTCAAAGCTATAGGGAAGGCCCTACATGACCTGGAGATGGAGAATCCTGAAGGGAGGTGCCACGAAAGGAGCAGACAGGCATCTGTGGGGTTCCGAGGAGCCCTACTCATTACAGCATACTGGCTAGTAGCCTACACCCAGGAGTGGTGCTTTCACTGTGTGTGTGTGTCGGGGGGGCGGGCACTGGAGAGGCAGATCCATGGGGCAGAAATTAGGAAATGCTACTGGCAACCGACTCAACGGCACTTAACAACAACAGTGGCAACTGATTGTAGGAACTGTGTTATACTGTAAAGACAACCAGATCTGAAATCCAAAGACCTGGGTTTGACTGCTACTTTGCAGCTACTGTGCTTTACGACCCTGGAAGAGTCACCTTATCTTCTAGAATTTGTTTCTCCCTTTATATAAAGGGCAAACTAACCCTTGACTCCCAGGAGAGGGAGACTGGAAGACACACCGTGAGAGCGCATAGCAGCACGTGACACACATAAACTGTTCACGGAACTGATCGGTTTTCCGTTCAGCAGTTTCTACACTTTTTGTTTCGGCTCATGGACTGCAATCCCCACAATGCTCACAGCACTTTGTGAAAAGAAAACAGGCTCACCAGACTGTAGAGCACCCACTGGTGGGAGAAGTGCCCTAGAGCTTACTGGCACCCCATGTGCTGCCTAGAGCTTGCTGGCACCCCGTATGCTGCCTTGTGACCATTCTGTACCCACTGCACAGCCCCATCAGCTACATTGCTGCTTCTCCAGCTCACCTTTTGGGGTTCCACTTACAGCTCTGCACACAGCATGGTTCAGAGCTCACCTTTGAGTCAAACTACGGAGCAAATGACTCTACGTCCGAAGCAATGTTTATCTAAGCTCAGATACTCTATAATCTCATCACTTTGTCATGTGGGTGTTGTTAAGTGCTGTCAAGTCGATTCCAACTCATAACCACCCTGTATAGGGCTACTGAGGGGCGGCTGGTGGGCTTGAACTGCCAACTTCGCAGTTCAGTCCAGTGCTGATCCTACAGTGCCACACCAGGGCTCCAAAAAGCTTTGTGATAGATGAAAAATATCTTCCCTTTAAAATTGTCATACTTTTTAGAACACTCAAAGTCTGCCACACTTCATCTACTGTCTCAAAACTTGGCCTATTGGTATAAATAGCAGCACATATTCCTAACTAAGAATTCACCTAACAATTTCTTAACTTATTACACACACCCCTCTGCCAGCTAGAGAACCTACTCTAAATATGCAAGTAATAGCAGGTGGAGGTACAGCAACAATTCAAGTTATATATAGACAGTGAAAACTACACACTCGTGTTTTTATATTTATAAAAAGTCCCAACTAAAAGAGGCCCATGTGGTGAAGTAGGATAAGCACTGGATTGCGAACCAAAAGGTTGGTGGTTCAAACCCACCAGCTGCTCCTTAGAAGCCCTGTACAGGGTCATTATGAGTCACTATGAGTCAACAGCACTTAACATCTGTGCTTTCATCTGCTGTGCCTTCCACATTTTAGGATTAAAAGAAATAAAACTCAACAACGATAAAGTTTTAATAAAATATTATTTAATCAAGAAAAACCTGTCTAGAATTGGCTTTGACATTAAAATCCTCTTAAATAAAAGAAAAAGACCATTCTCAATTCTCAAGCATCACAATTACTTAGCAGAAAGCATCTATGTTTAAGCATCTTTCTTCTTTTCTACAAAAAGAAAAAAATAAACCCAGAACAGAACCAAACAAAATTTTTGTTTTTCTGGAAACAATTTCGATTTCTTAGAAAACTACGAATAGTCTGCTGAAACTACATTTCCACAAGGGGCAGGGTTTACCTCAAGACCACGTTCACTTGCAGCCTGCTTGATACATCTGTGAAAAGAAAAAGAAAAACACAGAGAAAGATTTAAAACAGAAACACAAAAAAGTCAGACTATCACAAGCACAAACTATTATTATGACTAAGTTTTTTTTAACTCTGATACTGGGCAGTTAAAACGATCAGATCTGTTATAACCCCATTATAACTCTTCAGCAAGTTGTCACATAGTAAGCTTCAGTTTCCATATTAACAAAGGAAAAAGAGAGTATATAAAATCATCTTTCTGTCAATCAGTAAAGGAACATTCTCAAAAGTCCACTATGTCTTTATCCCTCCTTTCTCATCCATAAACATACGATTCCCATTTTCTACTGTAAGACAATAAGTAAGTGTACAACTTCTGTTAGTAGATAAACAGGTCTTGATTTTATTTGTAAAGAAACTCACTCTAATTGATGTTAAGACTATGGTATCCGCAGAAGAATCGACCAATCAACAAAACAAAATAGAAAGCTCAGAAATAAATCTCCACAAATATGCCTAACACTCTGGTAGTGTAGTGGTTACAAATTGGGCTGCGAACCTTAAGGCCAGCAGTTCAAAACTATCAGCCGCTCTGTGGGAGAAAGATGAGGCGTTCAGCTCCCGTAAAGATTTACAGCCTCGGAAACTCTGTACAGGGTCGGAACCGACTCAACGGCACTTAACAACAACATGTTTTAACAAAGGTGCAAAAGTAATTAAATCTTAACATAAACTAACATTGCATTTAGTATCAGAACATTCATAATTTCGTGAAAAAAAAAACGAAACACGTAAGGGTCCTATTAGATGGAATTGGAAAGCTGGTAAGAGACGTGGACTCTAAAATGACATTGATTTCTGGTAAGATTAAAGTGTTTCATTTTGAAAAAGTGTCTATTTAATGTAGAAACTGTTGGGATGGAAAGTTTTGTTATGAAATTTTTCAACATAATAAACACTTTCTCATTGTAAAAGTCTGAATTGTATGTTGAGTAATTGCCTTTTTCCTGGTTCAAACAATGATATGCAATCACTTGTGCACAACCGATGCCGTTCCTGAGAAGCATGTGCTGAGTCATGGGTATAAAGCAGGGCAAAGGCCCAGGACAACAGGGCCTCTGGTTTAATACTCCTCTCTCCAAATTTTGTTAAACTCATCATCTTACACAATTCATACGCTGGAAGTTGCCCCAGCACAAGTCACTGTGACGTGGCATTCCACACATGAAGCAGAATTCACGGAGCTTAGCTGCCAGAGAATGTTCCTGGACTCCAAGCTGCCTTGCAGGAAAAGTTCTCTCTTTCACTTCCCCAAACGATTTCTCCAATTTCTAGATCCCTTTCTGACTTAATATGGAAAGATTCTTATGAATTTACTTACTTGTCTTTCTCTAGCTTTTCTCATCTATAAACTTACTATTTCTATTTTTCTATGGTAAGACAATGGAAAATATCTACATGCTGTTGGTAGATATAGTAGGTCTTGAATTTATTTCACAAACAAGACCTGTTCTATCTACCTTTTCATTTTGGAGGCTAAAGGCAGAGTCAGCTTGACTTCAAGGACTCTATTTTCTTAGTCTCCGGAAGAACACGACCAAGTTAAGGTTTTAAAACTTGGTCCTCTCACGTGCCAGGGTATTCAGACAGCTAATTTCATTGGTTCTAATAAAGTAAAGCCTGGGAAAGCAAGCGCCTGTGTAAGGCAGAAACCTGTCAAAGATGGAAAGCTCAAATATTTGCCAAAAAACGAGCAGCAGAGACATGGTAAAACTGCACCCCATCAAAGGCAGAAAACTTCCATGGCCTGGAAAAACAAAGCAGCCCTGCCAAGTTCCAGCTCTCACAGATTTCACTGTATTTTTATAACTTCCAGCCTGCTTGCTTCACAACAGCAAATGACTAATGAATTTAAAAGCAAGAGATGAGCTGGCAACTTGGAAAAGAGCCCACAGCAGGTCAACGTCTTTTGTGGCAGTCAGGTCTCCTGAAGAGAGCATGGCATGTCCCGGGCACGGTGCCTCTCTTGTCAGTCAAGCTTTCGGAGCTTCCAGTCTATAAGCATGGCTCTTATCTAGTGCAGAGGGTCCTACTTGCCCACTGCCTGGTTTCTGCTTCCCCTCACCTCAGAAAGAAAATCAGCCCAACTCAGTGACTGACTGCTTTTTCTTCATTTTCCCAAACTTGGACAGAATCCGTGTTTTTCTGCCCTATTTTCACCTTATTCAGATCCTGGTAGTTTATTTGAAAAGGTACAAATTAAACAGCTTGCAGCAGATTCAAACATGCAGTCACTTGGACATAGCTAATAAAAATACTTTCATAGCATAAAGTTGGATTCTAATGTTGGTATCTCCTATAGTCTCATCCCTAAAACCTAAACAACTGGCCTCTTCTTTGAAAGGAATTAAGAGAGATCCTCCCACATTTAAACAGACCAGATTAGAAACAGGAACAGAATACAATCCATTGGTTGGAAAAACACCAAACCAACAAAATTGAGGATTCCTACCTGTAAATTTTGAACCGACTCGACGGCACTTACAACAACAACAACCTGTAAATTTTAGCACACCAAGAATGTAGTTTTTAAAGATGAATTTACTGGAAACACACATTATCACTGGAAAATCTGTCCTATTATTGTGCCAATCCAGAAAGATTCCTACCCTCCCTTTCACATCCCCTAAGGCACTGTGGGTTAATGCGCCAGACTGCAAAGCCGTTTGAACTGCAATGTCAGCGGTTCAAGTTCACCAGCTGCTCCTCAGGTGGTCGCAATGGGTCGGAACCAACTCGATGGCACTTAACTACAACAAAGCCATCCAATTACGGCAGGAAAGGGCAGAGAGAGAAAAGGAAAGCGCAAGAAAACCACTATCCCATGGGAAGGATACAACTCTGGAGAAAAGTGTAGACAACCTGAGAGAGGATCTTGGGTACAGTTTACCCTTTATACATCACTCACAGATTCCTAGGCTCCTGGAAGGCACCTCCCTTCTCTGTTCACCTAGTTACCACCAGGATCCCTCAAGCGTCACCTTGAAGCACTCCCTCCATTCCTCCGTCTCCCAGGCAGACTTCTGAAGTGCCAAGTAACTCACCTTGTAGGATATTTCAATGGCTGTACTACAATCACTATCTCCTCCACTTGTCTGTAGTCTCTGTTCTGAATAATAAGAACACAGGAATAGTACGTTTCTGCTCTCAAGGAGCTCATATACCTGAAACAAGAGAACAAATCAAAGAAATAGTCTCTTCATTAGAGAGCAAGGCACCTTTCAAATGTGTATGCTAAGGAGGCAGGTTTATTTAAAAAAAAAAAAAAAAAAGGACCCAGTGATTCTCAACGTTTCTTCTACCTCAATACACTTGAGGGATCTGACACACAGTTCCGTTAGTAACAGAGCTCCATGGTGATTTCAAGTACAGGAGGGGGCATTAAAGACTAGGGAGGGTGTGGGGAAAGCGCACGGAGAGAAGACATGGGTTGTCTAAAACGCCACCCCATCCTGAATCACTTCGAGAGAACATCGGCACTCTGTTTTAAGAAGTACAATTTGGACTATTCTGAAGATTTCAAAGATCTGCATCATGTATATTTTAATGTTCTGAATCATAAAGCTGGTTCTTGTCCTGGAGGCCAGTGAGTGGAACTTAGCTCCATGCTAACTAAAGATGCTCAACTGACCATCTGATGCTTACAGCGCCTCAAGGCTCTATTGCTTTCTGCTGATTTTAGAACCTAAGATTTTATACAGAAAATTATATGCCATCTCAAGGTAATGACTAATGAATTTAAGAGCAAGCGATGAGTTTGTGACTTGGAAAAGAGCCCAGAGCAGGTCAACATCTCCTGTCAGTCAGGTCTCCTGAGCAGAGCACGGCAGGTCCCAGGCACAGAGACTGACCCAAGTTAGTCATGCTTTCGGAGCTTAGCCTCACAAGGCTCACAGGGCAATTTCCTCTTACTGTCAAGTACCTTTTTTTAAAAAATATGAGTTTTCCTCCCAAGTGATACAACACAAGGTAGCTCAGTAGTGAACAGCAGTCTCCCTCCTCCAAGCAACTTTGACCAAATTCATGTATTATTTACAGGGCGGAGATCTAATGAGGCAACCGGCAGGGGCTGATGAGAATTGTCGATAATGTGATTCTATTTCAACTACTTAAATGGAAAAAAAGAGACAACATTAAACATACAAAACAAAACCAATGTGTTCTTAGCCCTTGAAAGAACTTCAAGCCAATTTCCCTAAATAACCAAATAGAATTACCAAGGACTTCTGCATAATATAAGGCATTTTCAACATCAATTGGGTATACTGTGACAAGCTGTCTAAATTCTGGTAGAGGGCAAAGGGAGATGGAGGCTGTGACATGCTTCTGGTCACAGGTAGGGGAAGATGAGTAGGAAGGAGCCGGCCAAGTGAGTGGGTGACACAAATATTGCCTGTGGTCTGTCCATGTCCAAATCCAAGGAACTACTGGAGTCTTCTTAGCTTCTGACTGTCTGGGAGTTAGTCAGAACCATTGTTGAAGTCAGACACAAAGCAGAGATGAAAGCAACGCCAAACAGATATTTGTGTTCCCTTTGTCTGCAATCATATGTTGTAGCTAAGTGCCGTCAACTTGGTTCCAACTCATAGTGACTCTGTATAGAGTTTCCAAGGAGCAGTGGTGAGTTTGAACCGCCAACCTTGTGGCTCAAACCGACCTTGCAGTCGAGTGTTTATCCTACTAGCAATCATATGAAGGGACTTTAAAAGGTTACTGGAAAACAGAATTTTTAAGTTATGGGGTACTTCATCTTTAGTAGAGCTTTTGGAAACACATAAAGTGTGATCAACACATTTTCAAGGTGCTGCTCACATCACAATCACTTAGAACATCAATCATTTGTCTAAAATGTCTTTTACTTAGAAATTTTAGAAAATAAAACTTTCATCTAAAATTTCTTTGCAAGATTTGCATACATAGACCAGTTAATCTTTGGAAAACATCTCCAAGGTTGTTTACAGCATCTACTCATAGTGAGAGCGCAGATAATCCTGAATATATTGATATGTCTTTCAAGATGAGCACATCTTTTGTTCAACAAATCCCAGGACTTGTGTAAAGTATCCAAGAGGTTAATGAAAGCACTTTGTTACTTTACTTATGTTGCTGAATGAGAAATGATAGGAGAAATTTATAGAGTCATCATCATTAGTAAAATAGCAAATATGTAGATGAATGTCATAGTTCTAACCCTTGACAATACTGCCTTTGCCTTTGATAGATTCACAATGCAGCTAAATGCACATCACTTCTTCACACACCCCAAAAGAAAAAACATGGATTGTCTAGCAATCCAACATGCAGTATACAGAAAGAATTTGCAGTTGCAAATGAAGAAACCGCACCTTTAGTGCTGGCTCTCTCACTAACAAGTTGCAAGATCTAGCTAAGGTCACTATGAGTTCAAATCGACCGGATGCAGGGGAGAGGTTTGTTCTAAAGAGCTTCAAAAAGTTCGTGGAAATAAATCCACTTTTATTTTCAGTTCCATTTTTTCACGAAATTTTTAAAGTCCCCCACCCCCAATACAACAAACCCCCAATAAGACACTCAAGATATCTATGTGAAAACAGGCATTTTTCTCATAAACAGTACTCCGAGTCAGTGAATATTCCTCCAGTCCACATTTATCCCCTACACAGCTCCATGGGCAACCGAACTCGTTTTTCAGACGAGGAGTTAGGAATGAGGCCCAGATCGCTGATAGTGATCCTGCGACAAATATTCCGACCATTCACTCCTACCCGCGTTCCCGCTGTATTACCAGATAGATACCCGACATGCCAGCCAGCCTGCCTGCAAAGATCCCGCCGTCACCTGCCCCGTCGACTTTACTCTACACCCCAAACGCTGCCAGGCTGCCAGCTTCCGCTATCCGCAATTCCTCTTTCCTCCGCTAGAAAAAGATGTTTCTGTTTCCCGGGAGGGAACAAGCATGCCCGCTACCCGCCGTCGCAACAATGTGACGTAACGCAATGCGTCGAGACACTGCGCGCAGACTCAGTTGAAATCAGCTGGTTGATACTTCTGAGGCATTCCTCTGCTGATTCTGCGGCGGGCGTCTGGGAGGAACACTTGGGCGGGAGCTCCCTGTAGTCCGGCTAGCCCCAGCAGCAAGACCTGAGTGCCGTTTACAAACCGAGCCCCGCCTCGCAGCTGCTTGTATTTCTCACTTTGTTTCATTGGCTGATTTTTGTATTTAGCTTCTCATTGTCTCTGTAACCCCACATCCTGCCATAATAACGACTATTACTTTGAGACCATGGGCTGGACACCATCTCACAGCCCAATCCCTAGACGTCTGGCAATTTTCTGACTATTGGCTTACCATCGAAGGGATTGAGAATTTATTATGGATATAGCACAATTGAGGCTACGAAGATAGATTCGAAATGAAAGATGCCGTCAAAGAACTTAGGTAGGGGAGCCAAGATCTAAGGATAAACAGTTGTAGTACAGGATCCGGACTAGATTCACACACAGATCAGCAAGTTTTAGGTACCTTGAAAGGTCGGTAGGGTTTGATGTGCCGTGATAGCATTCTAGGCAAAGCAAACATCACAGACAAGAAAGCGCTGGTTGGATTGAAAAATAAGGACAAAGCACAAAGAGCCTTGATTGGACTCTGTATAAAACAAGGGGCAAATCAAAGCATTTCAGCAGGGGAGTTGTGCTTTGAAGATTTTGTTGCCTGTTTGAGGCCAAACCTCCAGGTTACTCATTTCAGCTTGTTGTTGCTATGTGTCATCCAGTCGATTGTGACTCAGCAACCCTGTATAGGGTTTCCGAGGAGCGGCTGGTGAGATTGAACCACCGACCTTGCAGTCCAGTACATTAACCCACAAAACCACACTAGTCAATGCAATAATATAAGAAAAATTAAAATATTAGGAAAAGACCTGAAAATATGTGCAAAAACCAAACCCATTGCTGTCAAATTGAGAAGATTCACAGTGACCCCACAGCACAGAGTAGAACCGCTCCCTATGTTTTCTGAGGCTGTGCATCTTTACAGCGGAAGTAGACTGCCTCGTCAACCGCGGAGCAGCTGGTAGGTTCAAACCTCTGACCGTTCAGTTAGCTTGATGTTTCACCACTGTGCCAGCAGAACTTCACTGTGGGCAGATGATGTGATTTTTGTTTTCTAGAAAATAAGAGCGAATGAAATGACAAACTCTTACAATGAATAGATAATTCATCAAGGTGGCTAAATAGCGTATTTAGTTGTTGTTAAGTACCCTCAAGTTGATTCCAAGTCATGGAGACTCTGTATAGGGTTTCCGAGGCTTTAAATCTTCAAGAGAGCAGAAAGCTTCATCTTATTCCCATGGAGTGACTGACAGACTCGAACTGCAGACGGTGTGGTTTGCAGTCCAGTGGTTATCGTATGGAGCCACATGCTCCCAAATGGCATATAAAACATATAAAAAACATTTTCTTACACAAAGAGCTTCAAAAAGTTCATGAAAAATTAATTATATTCAATTTCATTTTTTCATGAAATTTTTGAAGCCTCCTTGTACAACCAGTGTAGGAAGTCCCATGGTACTGAATATCTGACTTTTTTACAACTCATAGCTATAAATAAGTACCCCCAAAACCTATTAAAAAATTTTAGGCACATTTGCACCACTTTGTTTCACACATGAAAACATGATCACTGTATGATTCTGTTAAAGATGCTGTAGTGCATCTACAAGTGTTTCTTGTACGTTGATGTGGCTCTGTAGGATGAGACTGGACCACAAGGTTGGTCTGAACTGCAAGGTCGGTGATTCTAACTCACCAGCTGCTCCTCAGAAACCCTGTACTGGGTCCCTATGAATCAGAACTGACTTGACAGCACTTAACAACAGTAAGAACGTACATAGTAGGTACATTATGTACTACAACCAAGGCAAACATTAGAAATGAACTGCCTCTAACTGTTCTGAATTAGATACAAATTCAATGGACAAAGACAGACTTAGAAAGGGAGCTGTGTCCTCTGGTTCTAGGTCATCTGGAAACAAGATTGTTACAGTGAACTGCAAACTGTTTTCTCAAGCAACAACAACCTGACCCACTTGAATTTAGTGCAAACTTTGTGGAAGACAGAAAATCCCAAAGAGTCTGCAAGAAAATTTCTCGAGCTAATACATGAATTAAAGCAAAAGTGAAGGATGCAAGATCAATAAAGAAAAAATCAGATTGCTATACACCAGCAATGAGAAATCTAACAGGAAAATTAGGGAAACAATTCCATTTGCAATAGCATCTAAGAGATTAAAAAGTTTAGGAGATGGACTCATGCAACAAAAATGAGAAAACACTGCTGAGAGAGATTAAAGAACGGAAGTAACGAGAGTGAGTTAAAAATTATCCGCACTCTGGTTATATTAAAACTTCTGTTTGCTGCACTATCTTATCGACTCTTTCCACTCAAGATCACTGCTGTGCAGGTGTGAACATGGATGTTGTTGTTGTTAAGTGCCGTCGAGTTGATTCCGACCCATAGCGACCCTGTATAGGATTTCCGAGAAGCAGCTGGTGAGCTTGAACCATTGACCTTGCACCACACCAGGACTCCACGAACATGGATATCTGAAAACAAAATCTGGACCAATACTCAAAGGAAGGCAAAAGTTTATTTTTAAAAAGAATTGTTACTGATGACAGGACATTAATTCATCACTACATCACTACGAGCCTGAGCATAAACAACAGAGTACAGAATAGAAACATCGTCAATTGCCGACCAAGAAAAAGTTCCAAAGTCAACCACCAGCTGGGAAATTGATGCTTACAGTTTTCTGGGATTCTCAAGGGTCAGTACTGGAACACTAACAGGAAAAAGGTTCAACAATCAACAATGCTCATTTCAGTGAGATGTTCACTGAAGAGTTGAAGCCTAAACTTCAGGTTACATGCAGAGGATTACTCTTCAAGGGTGTTGTGATCGTATGTGACAATGCATGTCTGCACACCTTTGCCCACACTCTTGACATTCTGCGGGGAAAAAAAACACAAAAAAACTTTGAGGTGTTAAAGCATCCTCCCTATAGACCTTATCTTTGCTCCATTGGACTTTTACCTGTTTGGTCCCCTAAAAGCAGTCCTTCGAGGTTGAAGAGTCACCGCTGATGAAGAAGTGAAGACAGCAGTACATTCGTGGCTCAAAGCTCAGCCTAAAGCATGTTTTATTTAATAAGGCAATATAAAAGCTTGCTAACAGATGGACAAAGTGTATTGAAAAGCAAGGAGATTATTTTAAAAAATGATGTTGTTCCTAAAAGTTGATTGAATTCTACAGACAAGAGTGTGGATAATTTTTGACTAGTCTGTTTCATATTCTTGGGTTGGAAGACTTGGCATTGTTAAGATATCAAAACTACCTGATGGAATCTATAGATTCAATGCAATCCCAATAAAAATTCTTTAAAGAAATGGTAAAAACAATCCTCAGCTGTAGGTGGAATGGCAAGAGGCTCTAAATAACTAAAGCAATGTTTAAAAAGAACACACGCACACTTCTGATTTTAACACATGTTGGTAATCAAAACACATTGTTTTTGTTAAGTGCCATTCTGTCAGTTCCATCTCAGCAAACAAAACACTGTGGTGTCCTGTGCCATTCTCACAATTGTTGTTACACTTGAGCCTATTGCAGCTGCCACTGTGCCAATCTGTCTCATTGAGGGTCTTCATCTTTTTGCTGACCCTCCACTTTACCAACCAAGCATGATGTCCTTCCCAAGAGATTGGTCCCTCCCAACAACATGTCCAAAGTATGAGAGTCAGTCTCATCATTCTGGCTTCTAAAGAGCATTTTGGCTGCACTTCTTCCAATACAGATTTGTTTGTTCTTCTGGAAGTCTATGGTACTTTTAATATTCTTCTCCAACACCATAACCCAAATGCATCAATTCTTCTATAGTTTTCCTTATTCATTGTCTAACTTTCACTTACATATGAGGCTACTGAAAATACCATGGTTTGGGTCAGGCACACTTAGTCTTCAAACTGACACCTTTGCTCTTGAACACTTTAAAGAGGTCTTGTGCAGCAGATTTGCCTAATGCAATACGTCATTTGATTTCTTGACTCCTGCTTCCATGAGTGTTGATTGTGGCTCCAAGCAAAATGAAGTCTTTGACAACAATCTTTTCTCCATTTATCATGATGTTATTTATTGTTTTAGTGGTATGAATTTTTGTTTTCATTAAGATGCAACCCATACCAAAGGCTGTGGTCTTTAATCTTCATCAGTTAGTATTTTAAGTTCTCTTCACTTTCAGCACATAAGGCTATATCATCTGCATATTGCAGGTTGTTAATAAGACTTACTCCAATCCTGATGCCACGTTCTTCTTCATGTAATTTAGTTTCTTGTATTATTTTATCAGCATACAAATTGAATAAGTATGGTGAAAGAATACAACCTGACCCACACCTTTCCTGATTTTAAACTATTCAGTATCCCCGTGTTCTGTTCAAACGACAGCCTCTTGATCTATGTACAAATTCCTCATGAGTACAATTAAGCATTCTGGAATACTCATTCTTTGTAATGTTATCCATAGCTTGTCATGCTCCATATAATCAAAAGCCTTTGCATAGTCAATATAACACAGGTAGACATATTTCTGGTATTCTCTGCTTTCAGCCAAAATCCATCTGTTGTCACCAATGATATCCCTCATTCCACATTCTTGTCTGAATCCTGCTTAAATTTCTCTGTGGATAAACTCTTGCAGCTATTTTTTAATTATCTTCAACAAAATTTTAGTTGCATATGATATTAATTGGGTGTGGTGCTATGGGTTAATGCGCTGGACTGCAAGGTTGGTCTCAACTATAAAGTTGGCGGTTCAAACTCTTCAGAAACCCTGTACAGGGTCGCTATGGATCGGAATCAACTCGATGGGATTAACAGCAACAATAATGATATTAATGATTTCTGCATTCTATAGGGTCACCTCG